GCGCCAACTACGGTCATGGCGGACAATGGCGGCGTCTTTGATGTCCACTAGTAGAAAAATAGACTTTTGTCCCGATTCATAAGGGCCTTTAGTCCCGGTTCTGGAACCGGGACTAAAGGGTCGTTACTAAAGGTCCCCCCTTTAGTCCCGGTTCTTATACGAACCGGGACTAAAGGTCCTCCACGTGGCCGCTGCCTGGAGGTCCACCTTTAGTCCCGGTTGGTAACACCAACCGGGGATTTTTTTTATTTTTTTTGAAAATTTTTCCCGATTTTCAAATTTCTGAATTATTTTAACCTCTAATCTCTAATCACCCATCATCACTGCTCAATTTAATCTATAATCACCCCTCATCATTCCAAATCATCTAACTTCCCGGACGGTCACCCATCCTCCCATTCCCCCAGCCTGAGCACGCTTAACTTCCGGGTTATATTCTCCCTCGTTTCCAAGTCTGCACTTGTTGTTTTGCTGACAATAGTAAGATGTCAATCTTATTAACCCTCAGAAGTTTAGCTTGAACATGAAGTCACACATTTCACTGTTTGAGTTTAAAACTATTGTTCTAAAAAATAATAATTATTTAGTAACACTAATATTTCTTGAATAAGTAGTTTGACCATTGTTACCACAGTTTGACCAGATTTGACCAAAATTCAAAAAAACTGAAATAATTATTTAGTAAAACTAGTATTCTTGAATAATTATTTAGTAACACTAATACTTCTTGAATAAGTAGTTTGACCATAGTTTGACCAGATTTAATGATTTCTTTTAAAAAAACTAAAATTTGAGCATAACTTTTTTTTCCTTTTGGAATTTGAGGATTCTACAAATTTGCAAACAGGCCGTAGGCTGTCAAAATCGGATGCGGATTCTCGTGCTGAACATTTTGATATATTATACATTTTTTTCTGACATCGTATGCAAAAGTTATAGCCGTTTTACATTTTCCCTACACTTTTTGCAAAACATGTCCAAATTTAAGTTTTTAAATTTTCCTAACTAGTATATGTAGTAACATAACTACACCTCGAAGGATTTTAACTTTTGAAGTTTTTACATTTTTCTTTTGCTTTTTACAAAACTGAAAAGGCGATACACGGGGGGCGGGGGGTAGGATTTGAAAATTGCACCATTAGTACCAGTTCGTGGCACGAAACCTTTAGTACCGGTTGGTGCCATGAACCGGTAATAATGCCTCAACCCCATTAGTACTGGTTCGTGGCACGAACCGGTACTAAAGGTCTAACCTTTAGTACCGGTTCATGGCACCAACCGGAACTAAAGGTCCCATTTGAACCGGAAGTAATGCATGTACGGTGCCCTAGCCGCTCGAACCGGGACTAATGCTCACATTAGTCCCGGTTCGTAATGCAACCGGTACTAATGCTCTTTTCTGGCCGAACCAAAGCCCATTTTTCTACTAGTGGTTGTTCCCTTGTCGAGGCATCGTCGTTGCTGTTTGCATCATCAGGCTCGGGATGCTCCGGGGGAAACTCTAGATCTGGGTCTTCCGGATCAGACGATGGCGGCGTTATCACTTTCCCTCTTGGGGGCATTGTTTTGGAGCAAGTGCTGGCTGGAGGGATGGTGGAGCGGTGCTTCATCCCACACATTGAGGGCGGCAGATATCGGCGGCATGGCGTTGTGGAGACTCGGCATCCGATGCGCGGTGATGGACTCGCGCAGGAGGAGGTAGCTATCTGGCGTCATGGTGACGTCGATGGCAGAGTGGCTAGACAAGGTAGAAACCTCAATATTTGCTCTAAAGATGGACCTGTGGAAGATGGCGGCGACGACACATGCGAGTGCGTCAGACCGGTTTGTGCCCCAGACCCGGTATGTAGCTCGGCTGGGGTGTCCGGCTTTTAATGTTAGGCTTAGGTGAATGGTTTGGGTAGTGGCCCAGCTAGCACCCCTTCATCATATGGATAGGAGTAGCAGCAGATGTTGCCAAGATGGCGCTTCTAGGCATATTGTTGTAATACTTGGTAAGGTCCGAGATGCAGAGGCTGGGGGTCATGCTCCTTTTTCTAAAAAAAACATGAAAGCTTTGAAAACAGCAGGTTCTGTGATGCCGTAGTTTTTACGTGATGTTTGTGCTATTGTGCAGTCCTTGTGTTGTGCTTCACGCTATGGAAATGACAATAGAAACATGATGTATTGCGCGACCCCTAATCAAACAAAAACAAAACACACCATTGCAAAGAACACAGATTAACAGGAAACAACATGAGAGTTCCATTCATGGGATATCTGCTACTCACTGAACAAGAAGCCTGAGTTGGCATTCCTCTGCGCCATGGTTCACCAAATCTCAGGGTACCGTGAGTTTGTGACAGTCAACAGGAGAATCAGACTACCACACAACCTGCTGTTTTAAGGGCTCCATCGATGTTTTCCCGAAATTGCACTTACATAACGTAGCAGAATGTAGAGACTCAATTGTCACTGCCTCATGCATCATCAGAACATATGTAGAAGCTTCCTGCGAACCGACTTTGAACAAAAAAGTGTGGAGGCCTCCAAAGTCACCGGTCAGTAGACACCACCCTGGATCATAAGAAAAGAATTATCAGCAAAGTTACAGTGGGTTCATAATTTCATATAGGGCGCAGACAATTACAGAGGGGGGCATGTTGATAAATAAACTGGTGCATTACTAGGACTGCAGAAGGTCAAGAGCATATATGTGGCGTCACAGTTTAAACCACCCTGGGAAATGATGGCAGCAACGTCAATCGTACCGCACACAAGATCACGTGATTACCCATTAACAATATGCTCAGCTGTGCGATCTACGGATGTAATTTAGTGACCCAGCCTTAGGCTAAAATGTGTGGCTAAATAATCCCAGTGACACAAATGAACAGCTAAAGGCATGCAGATTTATCAGCACAGTTTCCAGTGAATCAAACAAACAGAGCTTCGTTGAATAAATAAGGAGCAAGGTAAAAAAGAAGTACTGTTTGGCTTATCCAAACCACATGTGTGGTGTTGTAAGTTTGAAGAGAATTGCAAAGGAAATCCATATGCTGACGGCATGTAAATTTGTGACAGTAAATCTGCTGCTACAAAAATTTACGACACCAGATAATATATGCAAGTGAATATTACAACGCTAGATAATGTATGCAAGTGAGTTTCATGTGGAACAAGTTATAGCCATCTGGTTGTCAGAAAATGCAGCCGCGAGTATTCAGGTTGCAACCACTATATGGCTAATTTCCAGCACATCTCTTGGGAGTGGTGCAATATAAGAAGGTCGATAGCTAGCTTGATAGACTGAATACTATGAAGAATTACATACAAAAAGGTTCAGCTGCAAGACCATGAAAAATCTGAGAAGCAATTGAAATTTGAACCTACTGTGATAACATAATAACTTCAGTAGTGTCTAGCATAAATCATTTGTAACATCATTACCTACAAGTGCAAATTAAGAAAAGGCAGCTTTATAACTTGCCAAATAAGCAGATTTATAAGCAAAATTTCCAGTGAATCAAACTAATAGAGCTTTGCTAAACAAATAAGCACCAAAGGTGGAAAGAACTAATTAACTAGTCCAGACAATATATATGGTGCTTTAAGTTTGAAAGAACTGCAAAAGAAATACACAAGTTGATGAGACGTAAATCCATGACACTAGGTCTAACACTATGAAAACTTACGACGATACATAATACATTTAAGTGAGTTTTGAGCTGCCACTTTTATGATGCAAGAAAAGGGAGGTTCATTCATAGCCAAATTTACAATCTGCCAAAGAGCTTGATTAGCTTCATAGAAACTTCTTTACAGTTGTGATAAAAGGCATTGTGCACTAATTTATATCAGCCTTGAAAACTTGGGACCATACATATACAGGTGCCGCCTTCATCCAGAAAGAAGAAAAACCATAGTCACGGAGACTTCAGTGGATTGCTCCAAGAAAGGAAAAGAGGTGTCAACTTATGCTAGAAATTTTATGAGGACCATTCATGAAGATGGATATTTTGTGCATTCTCAGTTTAAGATTTAAGGAGTAAGGACAGTAACAAAAAATGCTGAAATTCAGTGTGCAAACTACTGTGCACGCTCATTTCAGATAGTCATGCACAATCACAAAACGAACTAACTATTTTACATCTTACTCTATCACTATGGAGAATTTCAGGCATACTGCATAACATGTTACACAGTTATGCTAAACCATCGTAGGGAAAACAACAGTTCCCCTTTTTTATAACCAGAAAGGCACATGCTTTAGCCATGAAACAGAGGCATTTCAAAGATAGTTGCACAAGACAGCATCGACATTCATAGTTTAATATGCCCCTACCCTCTGTAATCTGTAGATGACAAAAATTACAGGGTACAAGAAGAGAGGTTGTCGGATTACCATGGTCACGCAGAGGCAGAGCAGCAGTCTAGAGCAGAGAAGTAGGCAAATATAGGGTGACCAAATGTCATGCCATCTTCTTGGGCCGCCAAATATTCCAGCTTCTTGGTGTTCATGTCGTAGGAGAAGTTGCCGAAGCCCAGGGTGTTGATGAAGACCCTCCCGGTCCGCCCCTGGTCGACGTCGCCCAGCCACAGCCTGGCGTGCCGCCTCTGGGGATCCTTGGGCAGGGACGGCACGGTGTCGAACACCTCGTCCATGGGTATGCGCCTCTCCAGCACCCAGCCGTTGTCCCCATTGCCACGCACGCACATCTGGAGGCCATGCTGCTCCTCCAGCGACGCGACGCACAGCCGTCCGTCCTCGGGCATCTCGCCGATGCGGTACTTGTGGAGCCCGTCGAGCTCGCCCCACATCATCTCCGGGGCCCGGAGGAAGGAGAACTCCATGGTGGCGGCGTCGAGCGCGAGCGCGGAGGGGCTGCCGAGGATGTGCCAGTACATGCCCCCCGCGGCGTGCACGCACATGCCCTCGAACCTCATGGCGTCGAAGTCGACGGTGACCTCGCGCGAGCGCGGCAGCGCGGCCCAGCGGCACCAGCCGTCGCGGAAGGACGCGACCCAGGCGCGCGGGCGGTCCACGTCGAGGGCGACGCAGAGGACCTCGAACCGGAGCCCGCCCTCGGGGTCCGCGGCGCCGCGGGAGAGGAGCGCGGAGCCGAAGACATGGCCGCCGTTGAGGGAGGAGATGGGCGGCGGGGGCAGCAGCGCGTGGCGGCGCGAGACGGGGTCGCAGACGAGGAAGCCGCGGGTGTCGAACCGGGGCTTCCGGCGGAGGAGCAGGAGGCCACGGTGGGAGTCGTAGAGGGTGTAGTCGAAGATGTCGGGGAGGAAGTCGAGGGAGAGGCGCGGGGAGGAGGCGGTGAGGGGCTGGAAGGCCGGCGCGGCGGGCGGCGGCAGCTGGAAGGCCTGCGGGTCCTGCGGGCACATGGGGTGGTAGAAGTGGCCGAGGAGGGTGGGAGAGGCGCGCGAGTGGGAGGCGGCGGAGGAGGCGAAGGAGTGGGAGAGGACGCGGCTCGAGACGCGGCAGGCGAGGGCAGCGCGGCGGATGGCGGTCATCGCGGCCATCGCCGGCGAGGTGAGGCAAGATTGGGGTTTTGGGGCGTCTGCGTTGCGTTGCGCTGCGCGCTGCAGGTTTAGCGCAGCAGAGCAAACAGAGGATTCACACGCCGTCGGCTTCGGTTGTGTGTATCATATAGGTGTTTATTAGGCCTCTCAGCATCACAAATTACAAGCATGTCCCTTTTTATAAGGCCCCGCGTTGGAAAAAATGCATGCATATAATCATTTCATTGGTTGCATTGGTGGCATGGCTGGAAAATTAATACACTTCATGCGTGCTTTTTCATTGCTTGCATGCATGTGAGAGAGTGCATTGTGAGTGGAATGGAAGAATTAATGTGAGCAAATTGCTATATGTCTTGATCTAAGAGAAGTTGTGTTTAGGCCTAATAAACCTGGACGGAGGGAGTAGTAGGTGGAGTACAATTTGTTTGAAGGGACCAATTTTACAAAAAAAAAACATTCACACTATGTAATCTACTACGCACTATATTGTTATTAAATGTCTCATGAAATTAATTTCATACTACTATATAACTTTACTAATGTAGATGTTAACTTTTCTTTACATACTAAATCCAGTCAAACTTAATGAAGTTTGACTTCAAGCAAATCTTATATGGAGAGAAAAAAAACCCGGAGAGTATGTTGTCATAAATTTTTAAAGTTGAACTCTTGTAAAGTGGCAACATTTATGAAACTTGAGTGCGTTTGTAGCTTGTACTATGTACCCTCTCCGTCACGGTTTAGAAGGCACAGTTAAATTTGCGTGTGTTTCCCAATAGACAAGGTTTAGGGCGCATTGCATTTATTTCTAGTAGCTAATTAGTACTCCGATATACTATTTCTATATGCATGCGTAGTGTGAATGCTATTTTTTAACCCGTCTCATAACCAATATATAATCATTTAGGTCCCAGAGAATTTTCAAGTGCGTCTTCTAAACCGTGACGGAGGTAGTAGCTACTTATAGATCATGGTGGCTGGACATTGATTCAAACACTAAACTACTAAAGAGAGTGTAAGAGTAATTCTAGCAGATTCGTCATATAGGCAATCAAACTTAGAGTCATCATAATGATTGCCTCCGTATCATGGCCTCATGGGACCCATTGGACAGTGGGACATCCATTTGTTTCCTCAATCTCCAATGCATATTCAGTTAAAACAATAACATCCAGTTTACACGGGCACAACATCGAGGGCTTGGATAACCACGAGCAAGATGGCGAGGATGATTCCGACGGGAAGGCGGCGAGTATCGAATGTAGGTGGTCACGGAGATGATGGAACGAAAGCTGGGCGACGGGTTAGGAAACTAGGGTTGGCGGCGGCGGGCTGTTTTCTGACTCGAACCAATGCGCTCCGTCGCCGTTGTCCGCCTCAGCCACTTTTGGGGGGCAACCAAAATTGGACGCCCTGTCACAAACGGGCCGGCTTTTTTGAAAACAGTTTGACTAATTCACATCTATATGTTTTTTAAGGATGTCACATCTAAGCTCCCACAAATACATAATGCAGCAACAAGAAACAAAAAAATAAAGACAAAAAAATAGACCACAAACAAAATGAATATCAGCTTAGATGTGACATCATGAGCCGCTTCCTTGGCAGCGGTGCCAGCGGACGGTTTTTCTTACTCGAGCCAAACCGTTCCGCCGTCAGTGTCCACCTCCACCGCCTTTTGCTCCCAACCAAAAGTGGATGCTTTGTCTCACACAGACTACTTTTCCTTTTTTTTTGTGAATCACGGGCCGCTTCCGGCAGCGACGGGCTGTTTTTTTACTCGAACTAGAGTGTCTGCCACTGCTTTTTTTGGCCCAACCAAATCCGGACACCTTGTCTCAAACATGCCATTTTTTTCCGAATTACGGGCCGGTTTCTGGGAGTTGTGCGCACTGGGAAGCCAGTCAACACGCATCCACCATGCGTCCCTTTTGGGCCGGCCCATGTGCAGGGTGGGAAGCCCCTGTTTTTATCATTTCGTTTTTTGGCTTTTTTATTTTTTGTATTTTATTCTTTAAAATAATTACTATAAAATAAATTGAGAATTTCAAAAAAGAAAATCATAAAATGTTCGTGAATTCAAAAAATGTTCAATACTCCCTCCGTCCAGGAAAAGTTGTCCATGCCTAGTTCAATTTTTGTTTTACAAAAACCCCCTTGGGCTTTTAAATCAGTCGCAAATAGATCCTTCTCCTTCCCCCCGACACGCCACCACGAGACGCCGTCGCCCGCCGTCGCGAGGCACCGGCAGGTCCAGCGCCGCCCACCACATGCGCCTCCCAACTACGTCGCCGCCACAGCCGCCGCCCACAGACGCCCACGTGCGGAGAGGCAAGCACCGTCGCCCACCTACGCAGCTCAACCACTGTCGCCGCCCATAGCTGTACTGCCTCCTCCTCGAGCAGACCAGGAACTCCGCCTCACTGAGAGGTACTCCATCATCGAGCCAGGCTTGCTGGGAAGCCGTGGATTGACGGAATCTGCCCCGTCTCCTCCCACTCCGGCCGCCGCTTCCCCACACAAGGTCGACGCCGTCGCGCCTTTCCTAGCTTCCCCGAGCCATTTTAAGGAATCAGGGTCCTCTTCCGGTCCTCCAGACCACTTTCCCCCTCTTGATCGCTTGGTATTTGGCATGGTCATCGTCGGTCGCCGCTCGCTGCTGCTGGAGCTCGTCACGTGGCTCCTCCGGTGAACAAAAACCAGCGGCGCCGGCACCCAAGTGTCGACCACACTCGTGCGTGTGCACGCTCGCCCACGCTCCATGCTCTTCGGTGGAGCTCGTGTTGCTGCCTGATCCTCTCTGAAGAAGGTACTGTTGCTGTTGTATCCATTCTTGCTGCAGTTGAACTGCAATTTCAAGCATAGTCTGTTGATATCCATTGTTGCACTTGTTTGATGATTTGTGCTAATACTTTCCGCTGATGCAAGCCCTAATTAAATCCAGAGAACAAAAGAGAGGAAAAATCTGAAGAAAAAAAGAGACTAGATTGCAATTCAGTTTAATTCTGTCTATGTACTCCAGTGACTAGGGGGCAGGCTTCATGGTCGAGGCAAGCAAGTGGTGGGACGAGGGGGCCAACAGGGGCCGCCGGAGTCCAGATCGATGGGTAGTTGGCAGGTGTCGACGGGGAGGGAGGAGCGGAGACGGAAGGCGGGAGGGGGAGCGCCACGGTGAGGAGAAGAGACCGGGTCGACGAGGCGGCAGACGGAGGAGGGGGCACTCGAAGAGGAGGCTGGCGGAGGAGGTAGACATGGACGGCTGCGCCATGGCCAGGGGCCCTCGGGGATGGACGCCTCGATAGGCCGCCGCGCAAAAATCCAACCTTCGGGCACAATTCCAAGCTTCAAACGAGACATGGGGGAAGAAGGTGGCACCGGCATGGGGCGCGGTTGGGGAGGGAGGGCAAGGCGACGTGGGGCGGGGGGAGGGAGGGATCAAGGCGGCGCGGCGTCACGGCGTTGCCGGCGAGCAAGCGATGAAAGAATGGGGTAGCGAGGGGAAGAATGGGCGGTGTGGAGTGTGGATTTTGTCGGGGGAAGCTGGGGGTGTTTTCTGCAAAATGTACACGATGACAACTTTTCCCGGACGGAGGGAGTATTTTCAAAAATGTTCAGGAAATCATAAAATATTTGTGGATTCAAAAAAGGTTCATGATTTGGAAAAAGATGTTCGCATGTTCAAAAAATGTTCATGATTTTGAAAAGAATGTTCTGTAAATAAGAAATGTTCATGATTTTGAAAGAAAAAAAGTTCGGGCAACAAGAAAGGTCCATGATTTTGAAAAAGTGTTCGCATATTCAAAAAATGTTCATGGATTTGAACAAATGTTTGCAAATTCAAAAATACTTGGAGGGACCCGATTGCTTTCTATAAATATTTGCAAGGGTTGTTCTATAAAAAAATACTGACACATGGGACCCACCCATCATAACGGTCTAAGCTAACGGTGTTGACTTTTATGCCATGTCGGACCTGACGAGTGGACCTGATCTGTCATAATCATGATTAAAATTAATTAACACAGTCATCAGTGCAAGATGATAGGTTTTCAAAAAAGAAAACCAATCTTGTAGTTGGTTTTAGGGAAGTTCAATAAAGTGGTAGTTTTTTGAAACATGTACTAAGTTATAAGACTACAACAGAGAATGCTCCAGGCAATTATATTTGCTGTATGGACATATGGTATGCTTGTGAATTTATTCTCCTTCGTATACAGTAAATTCGTAGGGGTGCCGAAAAATGACTTGTTTGATGTTTTAGCTTGGACCAGCATTCTATTGTGCATCACTCTTCTTCTGAACTATTATGTGACCTTAAGTGCAAAACTAAATATTGGACCTACATAAATATTTAAAAACAATAATCAGAATGTTGATGTATAAAGGAATTAGGACTTCCGTATTTGTATTTTGATTGTTGAAGCATGCTTGCTGAGTGGAATGTATCTTTGTTATGCATGATTCCCGATCAGATATATCACAGTGATTTTTCTTTTCTTTCATACGACCGGTGGATAATAGTGGGTAATCTGTGTTTGCGTGGCATTTATCCTTCCAGAATCAATCAGATGTTTGTTGTGCTGGAGTGCAAGTTGTGTAACAGAAATATGCCTGCCTGGGTATGAAGGCATTCACTGGAGCTTAAAGAAAAATACTTCCACAAGGATACCAGGGAACACTTGGATGTTTCCTCCAGTACCTGCTTGCTTTGAAGCTGTTATGACCGGCATATTAGGGGTTTAGCCCAATGGGCTATGGCCCAAGTTATCTTATCGTTATTAAGGGCTTAGCCTAATTATTTTATTGTTATTAGGGTCGTTTATTTAGGAGTCAAGTAAACCTCTCTATATAAAGAAAGAAGATGTATCAATCTAATTAAGCAAGAAGCAATCAGTATTTGATCGGCTTCCCTTAGGGAACCGGAAGACCTAACCCTAGCCGCCTCTTGCGCCGCCGCCGCCTCTTCTGCACCATGCAAGAACGGCGCCCAGCCGCCGGCC